TTCCGGCTGGAAGCGAACACAATGAAACTCGCAAAGAGGTCCGGGCAAAACTCCGTGCTAGCCTGAAGAGAGACCGCGAATCCTGCTGGTCTCATCGTGCATCAGAAATGGAAATAGCCGCTGCCCTTGGTAACCATCGTAAGTTATTCCGTCTGATACGGGAAACGGGCAGCAGGAGACCTGGTGTCAGTGAAAGAATACGTGACGAGAGTGGACAGCCTATCCACAACTTGTCAAAACGCCTGGAACGTTGGGCTGAGCGCTTTGAAAGGCAATTTAATCGGTAGGAATGGTTAGATTTCTCCTCGGCGACTGATCTCCCCGCTCCCTGGGCTGTCCGTTTGGATCCACCCTCTCGCTCAGTAGTCGAACGTGAGATCGCACTGTTGAAGTCAAATAAAGCTGCGGGACCAGATGATCTACCTCCAGCCCTCTTCACATTCGGGGGACCTGCTCTGGTTGATGATTTATACGTGTAAGTAGTGAAACTGTGGGAGCAGTAAACTGTCCCAACCAACTGGAGCCGCTCCATCATAGTCCCAATTCTCATGGGAGTCTCACGGTCGGAATGCGGCAACCATAGAGGAATCAATCTGATCCCCATCGCCTCGAAATTGCTTGCCTCTGTCGTCCTTCACAAACTGACTGGCACTCGTGAAAGACATATTCGTGTAGAGCAAGCCGGGTTTCGTCGAGGTCGTGACTGCATTGACCACATCTTCAGTTTACATTAGTTGTTGGAGCACCGTCACACATATTGGCGGCCCACTGTTGTCGTGTTCATCGATATCAAAGGTGCATTCGATTCGGTGCATAGACGTGCAGTTTGGGACTGTCTACTCAGGAAATGTGTCCCTGAGAAATATGTGAATATTATCCGATCATTATACGCGTTTAGCTCAGGCAGAGTGAGGGCTTACTGCAAACTGTCGTCACCCTTCACTTTCTCCAGCAGTGTGAGACACGGATGCCCGCTGTCCCCTTTCCTCTTCAACTTCGCTATCGACGATGTCATGGAAAGCACCTTCACTGGACATGACTTAGAGAGTGTGGATCTGCTTCCCGGATAATGACTTCTTGATTTGGAGAATGCTGACGATATTCCCCAAATCTGTGACAGCTCCCAGACATGCCATGCGGCACTGGACAGATTAACACCTACTGTCAGCAGCTTCGGGTTTTGCTTTGCTCTATCGAACTGCAAAGCGTTTCTCCAAGATTGACCTGGACTGCCTCCTTCGCTGACCTTTGGTGAGGAGCAGCTAGAATTCGTTCCGAAATTCAATTACCCGAGAAGTTGTATCAGCGCCCGTGGGATTGAATATGAGACCACGAACTGTATAGCAAAAGCTCGAGGCGCTTTTGCTAACCTCCCCCACTTATGGCGTCAGCGCGACATCAATCTCGTCCCGAAGGGTCGAGTGTGCGATGAAGCGGTACGTTCGACCCTACTGTGCGGTTGTGAAACCTGGCCCGTTAGATCAGCGGATATAAAGAGGTTAGTTACGTTCGACCACCGGTGCGTTCGCAACTTAGCTGACATCTGGTGGGAACACCACGTGAGCAATGAGCGTGTTCGACGCCTTGTTTACAGTACAGGAAAAGGAAATGAACCACTCAGTACCGTTATTTTACACACCAGGCTCCGATGGCTAGGCCAAGTGTTAGGCATGTCAGCCAAACGACTCCCGCGACGTGCGTTTTTTGCGCGCCGGGGGTGTGGATGGAAGAAGAGGTGGGGTGGCCAGGCGATTGGTCGAGAGGAATGAAGGCCCTCACTTCGATGCTGGCGTTAGTTGGAACTTCTCGGCTCCCTGGTTGGGGTCTGAAAGACGATGAACACGTTTGGCTGGATACATTTGTTGAGATCACTCGTAGCCGACCTCAGTGGCGTTCGTGCTGTGATTTTCTTTGTCTCACCCCATCCCTGTTAACTTCCCCATCCAAACATGATCTCAGTATTTAACATTTTATAATTTTGCACAATAAATTATTTTTTTTCTGCTGCATAGTCGCCGGTAGGTAGCTTACCGGAACGACGTCCATCCGTTACCGGTAGCTCAGCTGGCTTGCACCTGTTGCATTTTATTCCCCTTTTTCTTTTATGCATTGCGGCACAGTAGCTGAGGTATTTCCCACCTCTAGCTAACATATATATATATATATATATATATATATATATATATATATATATACATTTACTTCACACAAGGGGTCAGATATGACAACACGGAAAATGGAAATACCTACATATATTGGTTGGGTCACTTGCAGGCCATCAACAATTCACCCTTACAGTAGATCTATGTCTTGCGGGCACTCGTGCTTTTCACTTAGTTGTGTAATTGAAAGGACGCACTATATGAAGACGAATGGAAAAGCTTGCTTATTCAACCCGCCAATTTGCGCATGTTTTTCGAATGCCATCAGTGGGTCTTTAAGGTAAGATAACAGATGAAGAAAAGTCGAAGATAAATCCACTCTATCTGACGCATGGATGGGCCCATATTTTCATAGATCACCAATGGGCCATCAGTATGAGTAACACAAGGAATATCACAGCACAAACTGAGAGAAAATCAGAGCTAGATCTCATTTATGCAACCTATCAATGTACCAATGTTTTCATAGGCCACCGGGGGGCATCAATTCGAGTAATATCGAAGGATGTGACAAAGAGGAAGGAACTAGAGACAAAGCTGCTATCTAGCAAGAAATGCTCGTTATAAGAGGGTACTTTATTTCACATTGTATCGAAATGCTCTTCTCCCCATCTTTATCTACACTTTTGTATTGCAATTTCCGCATGTACTTAGATGTTATCAGGCCCGGTCTCTTCTTCTTCTTCTGTTCAACTGACACAAAGCAGCCTTTTAACTTTATCAACAGTTATGTACTCTTTTAGTTGCATCTTAAATGTTCGAAGCGAAGATGAACTTATGGCCCAAGGCACTTTATTCCACAGTGTAGAATATTTGTGTGTAAAGGTATTATACCGTAGATGTGTGTGGCGTCGATGTATTTTTATCACATTGTCTTTGTTTCTTAGATTATACGGTGAAGATTCTTGGAATACCGACTGATAGTAAACAGTGTATGTCAATCGATGGACAATTTCGAATAATGGACATAAATTCAGCCTTAATCTTCGAAGCCACAGCGGTTTGATTTTTAACCAATGGCATCTATCTTTATAAGTGAGCTTAGAGCTGCAGCCCACGATGCTTCTGGTAATTGACCTTTGTGTAGCTTCGATTACACTCCTGTCGCGTCTACTAGGGCTACTAAAAGTGCTGGCACCGTATTCCAATAATCGTCTGGCGTACAGTTCTCATGACGGGAGCTTAACAACGCTTTTATAAACAAGCGGCCCATCATTCCACTAGTCAGTGTTTTAGCCACCGTATACTCAACTTGTTCTTTGAAATGCAACGAATCTGAGTAACGGAGACCTAAGTCACATGTCGATTCACATAAAAGGAGTGAGATTCCATGCGTAAACAAATATTCAGGTGGAACCCAGCATCCGTAGCAAACAATGCTGCATTTAGATGTTGGAAATTTCATGGAAGATCCGACACATCAGTCTTCCAGGGAACCTAGGTCACTTTGGAACCCAGATATAAAAGAGGGAGATTGAGAATCAGTGGCATACAAAAATTTTATTTCTTCTGCAAACAAATAAACTCTATCAGGCCTTCTTGCAGGGAAAAGATCATTCCATATATCAAAAAAGAAGAGGGCCAAGTGCACTACCTTGTAACACACCACTAGTAATATCTTGTTTCCGACAGATACTCATTTATCTTTGCTACCTGTTTTCGACCAGTGAGATAACTGACAGTATTGGTAACTGACGCTTCACGACAGGTGAGTTTGCAGAGGATAAACCTTTCGTTTTTACAGTGCTTACGGACGGGTTATAAGGAGGGAGGTTTAGGAAATTTGTGCTGAGTTCCCTACCTCTTCTGTGAATTAAGGTTGTAGCTTCTGGTCTTGTCAGAGCGAACACTCATTTTACCTGATTATTCAGTAAATTTTTAGGGCTTCCGAAACCTATCTGAAGTGCACGATAATTAGACAGTGGGGTACAAAATTCACCGTTTCAGCTACAATGTCCAATACAAACCGACCAGGTTTTTAAGTCCGCGTTCATTTATCCAAATTCCACCAAGGGCTGCAGATTTGTCCTTTACAACTTGAGTAATCCACGTACCCACGTTTGCCTGGCTGTCACGATTCCATACTATTTTGTGGTTCCATGAACAACACGCCGTGGTTCTTTCATTTCTTAAGTAAATTCTGTTAACGCTTGGGCTTTGAAAAAAACCATTTGCATGCTGATGGACTATGTATACTCGCAGCGAAGAGAAATGTGGGTGGCTATTCCTGGGCCCAAACTGCGTTACACTGCGTCAGCAATTCAAACACTTTTTTAGTAAGTATAGACCGGATAAAAATCAACTGTTTCAGACGTATGTTTCTACTTTTAACTTCTCCTCTTTACCATCGATCGCTCTTTGTGTAGCAAATGTGAGCCGTCTATAGAGTAGTAATACAACATATCAATCGACGTTTCATTGAAAGCATTGGCTCCCGAACTGTTTTCTCGCGTAGCTTTTTTCGCCTCCACTTTCAAATCTCCTCGTTTCCGTAAACACATCTGCTGAGCTTGAGCATATCGTACTAACGAAATGACTCAGCACGACGAAACAAAATATCATTAAATAAAGTAAGTGAAAATATCCTGAGGACCATCACGATATCCTGAAATGACAACTAATAATAGACAAATTTCCGAGATTATCGTGTCAAGTTGTCTTAGCCTAATCTATGTACCATCCTGATTAATGTTTGCCTTCATCACAAATAAGTGGTTTCTAACTCCAAGAAATTGACTATCAACTTTTGATCTATCTGGTACAATCTAAGCGACATTATCCTACCTTCTTTAAGCCCTAACCGCATAAATTTCTTAACTTTATTTTACTTTACTACAGACGGCTCGGAAAGAATTCTTCCGCCCCACCGTGATGAGCTAATAGAATGTATTCGGAAAATCAAATATGCCTTCAATCTAAACCAAGACCTCGAATCTATCCTTCTCAAAAACGCAGATAAAGTTTACGTCCGTCTCATCAAACTTGTTCGATGGTTAGACCAAATTTGTCAGAACAGGCTCGTCCCAGACTATCCCCAAAATTTGGTCAGACGCGTCGTAGAACCTCCATTGAGCGAATCGTCTATTGAAGCGGTGATTGCACGTTTGGCTCCGGAAACTGGGACATTTTGGACAAATCTTGGTGACGCATGGAATCTGTCTTCGTGAGTGCAGCATCGTTTCATTTCCAACCTCAAACTTCCCTGAGGTTTCTGTGGTTGTGACTCTTCGGAACTTGATTGTGACCCAAGTGCTTCCATTGCGCACCGCGCATGAGACATCAACGATGCGCAGTTCCGGTCTTGTTTGCATTTAACCTGATAGTCAAGTTTGTTTCATATACCAGAGTGGCTCAGTTGTTGTGAAGTTCTCCGAGCTGGGCAACTTGGTTGCAAACGTTTCGCCACCATTCGAGGTGGCATCTTCAGTGCGGGATTGATAGTAGTTAAGTGGCGGTAGCTGGAAGAAAGCAAAACCCAATAATGGATGCTGTGAGCAATCACTCCGTTCTTTATATAGGCATGCGGGGCTATTAATTTTGCCTCGTTCTCATTGGTGAATCCTTGTGTTCAGTGGCTGTGCTCGAGTCATTGTCATTGGCTTCGGAAAGGTTGTTGCGACTTGATTGGGATTATCGCATTCGGATTGGTGCAACGGGTGTGGGTGAATAGTCTGGGCTCATATTGACCATGCTGTTCATTGTCCGTGTGTTGGATTAGGTACTTTCGGGCAACGGTTGTCGATCCTCTTGAACTCTCTCTGTCTCAGCGGTTGGTATATTGGACCGAGGTCGATATTCATGTTGATTGAGTTCGTGGTTGAGAACCAGGCTTCGAGAAACTCCCTCCCTTTTTGTGGTTCTCCTTCGGCCAAGATCTCTACCTTGTTCCAATCGAACCTGTGTCCCTCTTCATCCACGTGTGCTGAAACCAATGTGGTTGCGTAATGGTTCTTGCACCCTCTTTGGTGTTCATGTATCCTGGTGGACAGCTTCCTTCCTGTTTGTCCCACATAGTGCTTTTCACAATTTACGCAGTTTATTCTGTATATGACATTCCGTCGTTCTAGTGTCTCTCGCTTTCCTTCTGATTTTGATAATGTTCTCCTCAGCGTGGCGCTTGGCTTGTGGGTTATCATGATATGATGTTGTTTGAACAATCTGGCAGTCATTTCAGACGCGTTCTTTATGTACGACAGAACTATACGTTTCGCCAGAGCTGACATAGGTTCGGTTTTTGATGGCTTGCGGTTTAAACATCTTCGGAGGAAACTGCGTGGGTATCCGTTTCGCTCAAATGACTTGAATAAGGGTTTTTCTTCTGCTCGTTTCTCTTCTGTCGTACTGCAGTGAGTTGCTATTCTATGGAACAGTGTTTGCACAGCAAATTTTGTGACATATTGGGTGGTTGCTGTTGGATTTCAAAATCTGGTCGGTGTGCGTGCTTTTTCTGTAAACTGACGTTTGCAATTCGCCGTCCATTGTTCTAGCCACTAACACATCCAGGAAAGGAAGTTTGTTTTCCTTCTCTGATTCCATGGAAAACTGTATGCCGTCCATAGCGTAGTTAAGCAGTTGTTGTGCCACCGATACTTGACTACGTTTAAGTATCACTAACGTATCAGCGACGTAGCGAACCCAAAGTTTCGGATTAATCATTGGTAGTAGATCCTCTTCCAATTTTTGCATGACAATCTCTGCGATGAGTCCGGATACAGGTGATCCCATCGGTGCACCTTTCACTTGTTTATACATTTTTCCGTTGAACGCGGAGTAAGTTGCGAGACATAAGTTGAGAAGTTCGCACACGCTTCTGGTCGTCATGTTCCAATCTTCCCTCCGCTGTTGTCCAGACGTTCTGCGATAATTTCTTTGGCCAGCTGTAAGTTGACGGAAGTGAATAGTGGCTCAACTGTTGTTACATGCGATGTCAATCGGCTTTCGCCTGCTTTTCTCATTTGGCTAATCTTTATAGCCATTAAGCCCTACTTTCATCAACAGCTACCCATCGCTACTAAATAATACTGCCCGACTGCTACGCAGGCGTAAGCCAAGATAGGTGATCCCAACAATGGCACTGAAGAGGTGTTTATCGGTGACCCCAATGTAGTTTTTAACATATTAGACCAGGACTTACGGCTAATGCGTCCACGTCATAAGGACACCCAACGGCGACAGACAGATAATTATCGAGTGAACACAAGGTGTCTCAGGAAGAATGCTCCCTTCCAACTTTCACTGGCCTGCTCTTAACAAATCATTGCGCGCAGTTCATGCAACCAGTACATCCTGAGCCTTTCACAACTTCATCTACTCACTTTGGACTTAGATGCAAGCTCTCACATTTCATTCCTCATTCTTTTGTTGTCGCAATGAGACGTGGCTGTGTCAGCATGCGGGTTGATAGCAGACCAATCACACTTGTTAGCTGCACTGGTATTTTTATGAGAGTGGCAGGGCAGTGATAACTTCTTAACCAACACTCCGCTTGGTGAGATCATCAGGCAGTCATCAACGAAATTGTTGTCTAAGAACAGATGTGATGTTTTGGAGATTATATTGGAGTGTTCCATCTATAGCCAACAACTTCCTTTATGTATTTCGATACAATTAAGTGATATCATCTCTTGTGTCGTTGAGTTAAACGCGATCGGGGATTAGTTTTTGTAAAAAAGTATGGAGGGAAACGCCCTGAGCCACAGCGGAACTCAGTCCTCTTTGATTCGGAGAGAGCTTTCTTTGCACTTTCCTTCTTGTACTGATAACACACATCCATTAGTTTAGAACGAATTGTTGCCCTTCCCCAGATTATCACTGAATTTTAGGCAGCATTTCGATCTAATGATCGATTGCAGCGCTTGAGTCTCACTGGCCAACAAGTCAACTTCCTAAGCTTTTGTAGCTTCTTTCAGTCTGTGAAAGAATTTTAACTGGGCCGTCATTACAAACATCGGTAGCGGCTGTCTTTTCCCTGAATATTAATCAATACTTAATTTGCTACCTGTCTTTATCTCTCCTCAGTACCAACTGGCAAAACCCTCTGCCGACCTACGTCCCACACTTCAAAACGATGCCGAGGAAGCAGCTTTTTTCAGTTTCTCCCAAACAGCTTCTGCAAGCTTCTCCGATCGTAAGTGGCTCAATGACAACATCAATTGCCGATCCACATCTCTCACCATTTTCCTAAGCATTGGCGGATCCGCCTTTTGAGTGATCAAACTAAGACCAAATGAGTGTTGGGTTAAGAATACTTTTCGAGTAAAATCTCCTTGGATCCAAACGTTTACATGGTAGAGTTGAGGTGTTGTTGGCGTCAAATTGGGCTAAAAATTGATTGCTACGTTGTTCGAATAGTAAATCATATTGCATATACTCTCAGTATCTCCCTGGGAATTTGGTAGCGGACCGTTCAAGCTTTGCAGGTCGTTTTTCTTCGGTGATTTCTATTACATTTCTAAAGGCAAGTAATTAGGGTGTCCTTTAAGCAAATCGGATGACAGTAGTTCATAGCCGTGACAGCCTAAGTGGCTCTCACTGCCACACAAAATATTAACATTCGGATTTCCAAAACACCCTATATACCATATTCAAAGTAAGCAAGGGCTTTGATTTACAGTTTCCGAACGCTGCGGGAACAACGATTTTACTGAGAGTTGTATGCCTGCCTGGTTAAATCCCATGGGCTGTTGCTCGTATGTTTATCGGTATATTTTTGCAACCTAACTAATGGGTTTTTTGCGCCTAAGGTGAAAAGAACGGCTACCGTGGTGTTACACCAGGCCCCTGAAAAGCAAATTAACCTGCGCGACATTCTCAGTTTTCGCCACAACTGCTACCGCACTTTGACAGAGTATGTTGAAACCAGCGGTTATTGAGAGAGAAATGAGTTAAACAATGGCGTGCAACGCTCACTATCACTATCGTCGAGGACGGAGCTCTACTTCCTTAAGACATTAAAAGGTGAGCAATATCGGAAGAGGCAGGACTTAAGTTACGGGTTGCGGTAGTCAGCTGAATTGTTTATTCCATGCATCCATGTATCTAGTGAACTAGCGCAGTACTTGTAACCGTTACAGGCTCGTTCACCGCGACCGCACTTCGGGTGCAGTTTAAACACTGATTTTTCCTGCAGTCAATCTGATCTGTGACTGGCAATGCAAACTTTGGCAACATTCACACAGCTAGTCGGAGTCACACGCCGTCCATCAATGGCATCGAGCACCGTTTAGTATGTAACCGCGAGCACGGACAGAAGTTATGCCTGGATGATAGTTCAGCTTACTAGATGTAAACCAGCGTACTTGTTCTAGCATCATTTTGTGTGGACCTAACTAGATAACTACATGATAGGGGTTGATTAAAATTCAGATCGCTATTACTTTTACCCTAGTTCTTGTTATTGACGATGACATATGCACCGCGTCCGTAGTTTACTGACCATACAACTCCATTCTGGAAACGGACCGCTGCTTACTATATCGTCGGCGTATCGTGATGAACCGGAACTGTAACATGTCCTCATGACAGGTGCTTTCAATATACATGACTAGCCAGGAACTCATGGCTGATGGACTTGATGCGTTTAGTTATTTGGGTCGAAGCGATCATGTGACTGTGCTGTTCGATTAAATTTGCCACACCGATTATTCCGATTCAGAACCCGAACGAATGCACTCTGTTAGGCACCACGATGCAATGTTTGTATTTTTTGACGCTAGTCGGACATTCATAACTGCGTGCACACCAAATATAGCTTGGAAAGTGCTCTTAGAAATCCTCACATCAGTAGCCGTGAAAGCATCAAAGCCGAAACCTTACCATAGTATCCTCAAACCAAAGTGCGTTTTGAGTAGCAGAACACAACAATGAATGGTCCTTAGGGATTGAACATCGTCAGTTTATAAAACCTCCTACATAGCAATTAGATAAGGTATGCAGCTCAACGTAATTACTGTGAACAGTTGGTTCATGAAGAAAGTGTGACACACCAACAGGAGCTGGTGAAATGATTCTTTTCGAAGCACAAGTTTTGCTACAGATACCTCAATAGCCTTCATTAAGTGCATCTTGCATTCCCATCAATCACTAAGGTTTTGGGTACACACATCCGGCGAGAAAGGAGGCCGAGGCATTACGGGTACAAGGCTAATCCAATTTCCACGGAAACGGTATTAAATAACTGCAATTTTTGCACGCACACAGTGCTTCTGAAGCTGATACCATTCACTTGGAAGCACTGCAGGTACAATGAATTCTTCCCCAAACAAATTTCTGATCCTCTGGCCACCGTAGAGGATAATCAACGGTGCCCTATCTGCTGCATCGAGCAGGGTGGATAGGGGTTTGGATGCTACTGCTCAAGCCGTCCCATCTTCTTATTCCCCTTCTTGCGCTTTTCACCCTTATCGTCCCGTTCCAGCTTTACTTTTCTCCCCGCTGTTTTCAACCCCCCGATTCTTGGCCCTCCCCCAACATGCTTTGCTAGGCATTTATCTACTAATTTCAACTCACATGTGAACGCAGAGCGTCACTCCTCTCCTGTCGACAAGTCCATTTCCAACCAAGCGGTCAATTCCAGTTCATCGGCTTCCATTTTGAGCCCTCGATCCTCCTTCAGATTGGCATGCCTCAATGTACGCACACTACCACAGATCGGACAACAGGCAGCACTTGCCCGAACATTGGAGACCCTCTCGATCGATATCTGCTGCTTATCAGAGACCCGCCTGCAAGACTCGAGCTCTGTACTCAGTCTGCGATCCCCTTCAGGTGACACTAGCAGCACTTTCTCACTGCGCCTATCCGGTGACCATGCAGCTTCGAGCACCGGCCAAGCCGGTGTTGGTATTGCCCTGAGTCCCCGGGCTGAAACTGCTCTGGTTGATTGGATTCCAATCAGTAGCCGAATGTGTGCGGTCCGATTGGCTGGCTCGTTCAAAACTTCGAAGTTGCGTGGGACTAACAGTTGTCTATTCGTTATCGCTGCCTATGCACCGACAAACTGTAGCGATGACTCGGTAAAAGACGACTTCTAACGTCAACTGAACGAGCTCCTTCGCCACAGAAGAAGCTCGGACACTGTAGTGCTGGCTGGGGATCTGAACGCTCAAGTTGGAAAATTATCCATAGATGAGCTGCATCTGGGCGGCCAACATGGTATAGGCTCCCGTAATGATAACGGTGAGCGGTTACTTCATTTGTGTGAGGATGCTCGCTTATTTCTTGCGAGTACTAATTTCCGACACAGCACCCGCCGGAGGTTGATTTGGCGCCCACCAGCCTCGAACCAGCGATGGACGCAAATCGATCACATTGCGATCAGTTACCGATGGAGAGGCTGCGTCCAGAACTGTCGCTCGATTTGAAGCACAGGTGTGGACACGGACCATGCACTTGTATGTGCTGACCTGCGGATGCGATTTGGCGGACACCCGCGACGATGTTGTGAGCGCATGGACACCGGCAGACTGGTGAATCCAGCTGTTCTGAACGCCTATCAAGTTACGCTGTCATCCGAGTTGAATAAACGCTCACTGGATGTAGTTGAAGCTCACTGGTCTCATATGCAACAGGCCTTACTAGCAGCAGGTAAATCCTCATGTGGTATGTCTAATCACCAACATGGACACTAGGTCTCTTCGCAGTCTCTGGAACTTATAGATGCTCGCCGACATATTCCTGCTGGAAGCGAACACAATGAAACTCGCAAAGAGGTCCGGGCAAAACTCCGTGCTAGTCTGAAGAGAGACCGCGAATCCTGCTGGTCTCATCGTATATCAGAGATGGAAATGGTAGCTGCCCTTGGTAACCATCGTAAGTTATTCCGTCTGATACGGGAAACGGGCAGCAGAAGACCTGGTGTTAGTGAAACAGTGCGTGACGAGAGTGGACAGCCTATCCACAACTTGTCAAAACGCCTGGAACGTTGGGCTGAGCGTTTTGAAAGGCAATTTAATCGGTCGGAATGGTTAGATTTCTCCTCGGCGACTGATCGCCCCGCTCCCTGGGCTGTCCGTCTGGATCTACCCTCTCGCTCAGTAGTCGAACGTGAGATCGCACTGTTAAAGTTAACTAAAGCTGCGGGACCAGATGATCTACCTCCAGCCCTCTTCACATTCGGGGGACCTGCTCTGGTTGATTACTTATACGTGTAAGTAGTGAAGCTGTGGAAGCAGTAAACTGTCCCAACCAACTGGAGCCGCTCCGTCATAGTCCAAATTCTCATGGGAGTCTCACGGTCGGAATGCGGCAACCATAGAGGAATCAGTCTGATCCCCATCGCCTCGAAACTGCTTGCCTCTGTCGTCCTTCACAAACTGACTGGCACTCGTGAAAGACATATTCGTGTAGAGCAAGCCGGGTTTCGTCGAGGTCGTGACTGCATTGACCACATCTTTACCTTGCGTCAGTTGTTGGAGCACCGTCACACATATTGGCGGCCCACTGTTGTCGTGTTCATCGATATCAAAGGTGCATTCGATTCGGTGCATAGACGTGCAGTTTGGGACTGTCTACTCAGGAAATGTGTCCCTGAGAAATATATGAATATTATTCGAGCATTATATGCGCTAAGCTCAGGCAGAGTGAGGGCTTACGGCAAGTTATCGTCACCCTTTAATATCTCCATCGGCGTGAGACAAGGATGCCCGCTGTCACCTTTCCTCTTCAACTTCGCTATTGACGAAGTCATGGAAATCGCGTTCACAGGACATGACTTCGAAGGTGTGGAGCTTCTCCCAGCAGAATGACTTCTTGATTTGGAGTATGCTGATGATATTGCCCTGATGTGTGACAGCTCACAAACGTGCCAAGCGGCACTGGACAGATTAGCACTAGCTGTCCGTCACTTCGGGCTTTGTTTCTCATCCTCGAAGTGCGAAGCGTTTCTCCAAGATTGGTCTGGACCGCCCCCTTCGCTGACCCTTGGTGTGGATCAGCTAGTCGTTCAAAAATTCAACTACCTGGGAAGTTATATCAGCGCTCTTGGGATTGAAGATGAAATCACGAATCGTATAGCAAAAGCTCGAGGTGTTTTGCTAACCTTCGCCACTTATGGCGCCGGCGCGAAATCATTCTTGCCCTGAAGGGTAGAGTGTGCGATGAAGCGGTACGTTCGACCCTACTGTGCGGTTGTGAAACCTGGCCCGTTAGGTCAGCGGATATAAAGAGGTTAGTTGCGTTCGACCACCGGTGCCTTCGTAATTTAGCTCACATCTGGTGGGAACACCGCGTAAGCAACGAGCGTGTTCGACGCCTTGTTTATGGCAAAGGAAAAGGAAATGAACCGCTCAGCACCGTAATTTCACGCATCAGTCTCCGATGGCTCGGCCACGTGTTACGCAAGCCAGCCCACCGACTTCCGCGACGGGTGTTGTTTGCGCGCCGGGGGTGTGGATGGAAGAAGAGGAGGGGTGGCCAAGCGATGACTTGGTCCAGAGGAATGAGGACCCTCACTTCTGAGCTATCCTCGGTTGGAGCGTCTCGGCTCCCTGGTTGGGGTTCGAAAGACGAGAAACACGTTTGGTTGGACACACTTGCTGATATGGCTAGGAGCCGACTTCAGTGGCGTTCTTGCTGTGAGTTTCTTTGTCCCACCCCATCCCGCTTAGCCTCCCCCTCCAACCACCATCTCCTTACAGCGTTATATAATTTTGCATAATTATTTTTTTTGGGTGCACAGCAGCCGGCTGGTAGCTTACCGGAACGATGCCCATCCGTTACCGGTAGCTAAGCCAGCTTGCACTGGTTTTTTTTCTCCTTTTTTCTATGTATTGCGGCACAGTAGCTGAGGTGTTCCCCACCTCTAGCTAACATGTATGACGATGATGATGACTGCAGGTAGAATCCGTGCGCTTAGTAGAACCAAGTAAGCATTCTTACAGTAATTGACGAGAGGACAAATACCGATATCATCTATTTGAATATTCCTAAAGCATTCGGTCGCTTGAATCTTCGTATTCTCTCTCACAACGTTTGGAAATATTGCATCGAAGATCCAGTATTGGGATAGATCGGTAAATTTTCCCGAGAACGGCATTTGGAGGTTATAGTCCGAACAGTATTTTTCGATGTAACTGCTGTAAGCCGCGATGTTCCACCTGATCTTATTCTTCATCAATATTCTAGTGATAGATATAACGATGAATTTAAGATCCATCGCACTGCCAAAGGACTGGACGAGCACGAGGTTCTCCAGCGGGACCTCTATGTGCTATGGCATTCAATGTGGATAATTGCCGATTTGCTCAAATCTATCACCGACCCACCTGCATCTACAAGCTTGGGCTGCACGATCTGCAGACCAACTCTCGGGAACTAGACCTGAGTGTGCTCGAACAGAACGACCTCGGTCGTTCCAGATAATCAGAGTTCTCTTCAATAAAAGGTAACTAAGACGTTAATCTCTTATGGAGGCCACTCGGGAGTTTAGATTTATCCATCTTCTCAGTTGATGCTCAATGCCTACGTGCGTACACAGGTCGAATGCGCTATTCAGGCTTAGCAACCTTGGCTAAGGCATGGTGTTGCAGCGCTCTGGACCCTACAGCACCATTCCGTAAAAACGGTCAAGGGCTTGCCCCACTATCCGCACACGGAACGATGAAAGAGACTCGAAATGTTCAGTGGACGCTACCGGTGGCTACGTGTAGGCCACATATTACTATGCCAGATACCGAATGGTCCCCGATTCGTATACCGCCATCTTCTGATACTCAGCCCGAACACATATTTGTGAGACAATGGTTTGAACTTAAGTCGTTTAAATTGTAGATGAACTTCTTTCTCCATCAGGGTCTGCCAACCCTGGAACACTTTTTCGTATTCGGTTCTCTGTGCTACCATCACTTTGACCATTTTAAAAGCACTTTTGAATATCGCATCCACCTGCTTAATATCTGTAATATAAACTGATACTCTTAACTGTATTCCGGTTAGATAGCTTTTTGGAATTATAATCCACACGCACATAAGTCAGTGCAGCTGGGTGAGCAGTACGATCGTTCTTTACAAAGAGTGTTAGCCAGCTTTACTTATTATTCCACTTTACATGGTATAATCACATTCTCAACACCTTGTTTCTCATATGCCGTAACCCTCCTGCTTCACGCATATACTGCTTATTTTATCCGCATGTGTAGTCTTCGAATTTGCCTTTTATTCCCTTATCAACCTACGTGACTTGTTAAACCATACTTTTAAGCCATCATAAGCCATTGTTCCATAATTCAGCTAAGTGGAATCCACAAGAGAAAAAAGCACCAGCTAAAGCTTGCTCACCGGTTGTTTGGTGACGTAATATCCGAACCAAGGAACTCTGGGACGTGCTGGTGGAATACGTTGTTTTTCTGGTTCGGCAATTCATTGTTGGTTACCCACGTTATTCATGTGCTGCGAGCAGCCGCTAGCGATGTAGATGTCTCCTAGAATCATTGATGTTGCTTTCCTTTCCATCAAGTGCCAAAAGGAATTTCCGCTTAATATCACTAAAAGTAGTGAGACTTTGCTTCCGATCGGTCAATGGTTTGAAGGAAACGGTTAAGATACATTAACTCGATATGTTGGCCGTTCGGGTCGAGTGTTGTGATTTTGGTTTGTTCGTCTGACTGAGCTTTCAGTTCGGTACACTTTCTCTCAAACGTATATTGGGTAGGTTTTCAAACTTCACTCAGGATACTCGGTGCACGCATATTGGATCCCATAGTAGCTACTGTCAAACATTAGTTCATTCCTTAAACTGAGCCGCAGAACTTTCATGCACACTGGTGGGCCCACTCCAGCTACCTTCCTTTGCCCAGAGTTAACCGCTGCTTTGTTGGATCGTCGCTCTTTTTATCCTTGCCTATCAAGGGTTTTCCATAAAAGTTGCATTTTTATCCGATCACACTGGTCCAAAAACATATACAAATTTGTTCTTGTGATCAGTGTCTGCTGAAAATCGTTGCGCATACCTATCGGGATGGCAGATCTAGTAATGATGGACTCCGCGAATCGACAATCAACACGTTGTTGTAATTAGCAACCAGTTTTACGTGCTGGAACCTGGTGTCTTCTTAGCCGTGTCAATGATATATCTCACAATCTTCTATGTGGGTGCACCTTGTTTTCCAGCTCTCTTCTGGTTGAGCACAGCCACAATGTGCTCATCCGCAAACATGTTATAAATCAGGAAACAGCTAGCTATGACACTTAGTCGGGCTGGATCTAGGCTCTAGGACAGACTCCCTGCAACATGGTGCATCCGCGAAGTCAACCGAGATGTTTCATCCAATTTTTATCGTTTAGCTGTTAAGGTTTACCCCACTATTGTAACATGTGCTTTTCCGATCCCGTTTCAGTGGTGCATCCAACCTTTAATCCGCATTTTCTCCAAGAGTAAACATTCCCATATTCTTTTAATGTAATAGCAATCCTGTAAAGACAATATGGGCGGTCGCAACTGGATCCATTGCGCTCCCTGGTCGGATCAAATCTGCTCAACCAATCTGAATACAAACCCTGTATGTTCCCGTAGATCAGCGTTGACTTCCCTCGAAGCGCCTACAATGCATTTGGTTAAATGAATGCATCGTGATGAGTGCGGAAATGTGGTTGCAGATGCCCACGTTTGAGACGGTTTTGTTCCTTTTTATCAGATCATCCACTTTAGCGTACATATATTTCGTGGGTTTATCACTGTTCCAAGTGCTCCCTTATTACTCTCCTATTGATTATGACCGAGAAAACTGGTTAGATTTAACATACATATGGGCGACTTGTCTGACTTCGTATTTCCTCACTGTACATTCTTGCGAGAATCCTATGGTAAGTTGGGAACCGATAAAAAGTATTCGGTATGATAGAAATCGAAGCTTCTTTTCATTTTCCCCACTGATTTAACTCAGAACGTCAACTCCGAACAAGTGAGTCAAGGGACACTAACGGACGGCTCCAAACCGAACAAATCCATAAAAGGTAACTGCCACACTTATCGGAATACTGTGTCACATTTCACGTTTTCTTTTATTAACTAGTTTCGAGTTGTTATTGTTAGAGCTATATCAAAACTATCAACTCATTCCAACCCCCTTTTTCAAGTTGCCTATAAAGTGTCCTCTCCGCGAATAAGGAACAGTGATCATGAAAGGTATTACCAGAAAATTCAAGATCGCGGTGGTCGGTAAGTTCACGCATACATCGGATTTCCGTTTTCTGCAGGTGTGTGATGTATTCTGGATCGTCCTGCAGTACCTTCCTAGAAGGTTGCACTAGGTTGCGCAAACGAAAGTTGTTGTGCCTCGTGTTACCTAGGGCCACTGTCATAGCTACGTTACTTTTGCCTTTGCAACTGCACAATGTTTACGATTAACTGCTCTCCTGACGATACATAGTTTCTTTGTCACGAAGAAACAACATGAGATCCGTGCAACATAAAGCGATATGTTTTTCCTCACCTACAAGAATCTAGCCGCGAAACTCACCTTACAACATAGTGAGAATAGAATACCCTGGGTGGGTGGCTCAGGAAGCATTTAGTATGTCGTATTGTACGGCATCTGGTGAAGACCCTGCCTCAAAAGTGCTCTATGTATCTCTGTAGCCACAGTGGGATGGCCATTACTTTTGCCTCACACGGCAGTAACAAAATGTTCGCCCTGAATGAGAGCAGAATAGGTGCCTGACAGCCACACAATCGGCTCAGGATAAAATGAACATTAGTTTTCGATGAAATGGATGATAGTTTTGGACACTGAAGTAAATGTGTTGAAGGTGACCACAATGGGACAAGTAAGGGATTGCTGGGAAAAACGTTTGCACTGGTATGACACACATTGCAATTGCGCTGTTGGTGATACAGAGCAACCTTATAATCTTCAACCCTCAGCTTATCCTGGATATTTTGACCTTTATATTTGGTATCGAACAGTCGACGGTACTAACAATGCCGCCCCCTGTCACATTGCGCCCGGGAAGGATCGCCCCCCGCCCCCAAATATACTAGGCCACTGCTGGCCACCCATGGGATGAGTTTCTTGTCTTCTAGGATGGCGACAATCCGGAGACACGGTCAAAGCGAGACTTGACAAAATGAACAGGCCCTTCAGACGAATGAATTGCGAACATGTCAGTCACGCAAGAGGCATACACGGATGGACAGTCTCCAGATGGAAGCATAACAGCGGGGGTCAAAAGTCAAGAGAATCTTGTTGCTGGACCTTAGGATCCTCACTTTTGTTATCAGTCTTAGCAATAGATGGTCCTGTGTAGAATACTGAGTCCCGGTTTGGGGTGCTAATTTACGTTCCCATAGACTGTCTTGGTTATACTCTGCCTTGCTCTTATCCTCACTTCTAACAACATTATAGTAAGATTTTCATGCACATGTCATGCTGCTCCTCACTTTAAAAATGGAATACACCTGGTCCCTTGTCTTCAACTTAATTAAGTGATTTTGCAAACCTGTTTTTGTCGCTGCACATTGCGGTGAGTGATTGGGTAAGAACACTCCATCTGGTACAGCGAACAGATAGTTTAGGAATGTGGGTATCGTTCTCCAAACATTCTACTGCCTTCACCCTACAGTCGTATTCATTGCCAGTCAGATCATAAGTCTGAATGCACCATCTCCATATCTTGTACCTGGCCTTTCTCCAAAATGCTGTCAATATGGTTCTAGCCTCAGCAGATCACGTGGATATTACACGACAGCAGGATTGGGTGTTAGGGTAGTCAGCCTTACCGAGCCAGATTCCAGCCACTGTGTGTTTGAACACTCACAATACTGCTGATTCTCCGTAAAACTGGCATGGTGGTCAACAAGAAATCCACACTGAGACACTTGCTGCTATTCGTGCTTGCTCTTGCTGCGCATCTGAACTTTCGCTCAAATAACGGAACCCATTGGGTTTACTCTGGTTCATCTCATGTTGCGTTACCGACCATCCTACATACGAATAGCATGGGTAGCGGTGCCCCATCCCCTGACTACGCACGTGCCTAAGTTGCAGAGCAAACGCTGCGCCGGTTGTCTGAGTTTCTGTTGTAGACTGGGTACGCTCTATCAAGTTGTTCCGTAGTAATAATAAACACTGTGTTGTTACCGCCGTTGGTGGAGAACAGTAAGGATATTTCTTCTCATTTTAACTGTTCTATATATCCATGAAGTAGTTCAGCTTTGCATGGTCAATTTGAAGTACACCTTGTGTTGATGGATTGCGACGCACAATCTCAAAGTGCACCGCGATTCCAAAAGAAGTGAATCTTGGCTATTCGATCATTAGGACCGTATCTGACGAGATGTGACAACATCGAAATGCGTCATGCAATGCAGTGTTTTTGTGCGGGCAATACCCATTTTCCTTTTACTTCAGCTTTGGTTTCGTCTGTCGAATAAATTTCTATCTCAGCATATCATATTTGATGTGCACCGTTGCCTGGATACCCAACACGACGTGTTTACTCGACAACGGAGTGACAAGGGACCACACATTTGGGTTAACATGTGCATTGATTGCTTGCACAGCAACAGCTTCCAGCACAGTGCTTATCAAAGTCACACGATATCCGTTGGTTCTGTTAGTAGGTAACGCCCTCTCGATATTACGCGCATTCACCAACTAGGTATAACTAACTGCTCCTTAGATATGTGACATCGCGGAAGCGTGAATTAAGTTATTGCCAATTATCCTAGTTTGTCTGTTAGTGGTTTGCTGTCTGTTAGTCTGTGACACGTTTCATGTGTGATGTTAAGCGAGCGTTTTTTCATTGCCAAACATCGCGCATAGTGATCCCCAGCGAGTATCTAGGCCTTAGGACATTTACCGTGAATTACCGAATGCAATCTTTGAGACGACTCGCACAACACAAGCACAGCAGAAGGAAAAGCGGTAGCTAACTCACGGGTGATTTTAACAGACAGAAAGCACTTGCGTTCCCAATTCACGCGTTCGATGGAGGAGTTTGTATGCGAACGGATGCTGTGCCACGTACACAGCCAGTGGACACCTGGCTCGTTCGAAGTTGGAAGCCAGTCATTTTGGTTCACAAGTTTCACTTACCGGAGAGGGCTGGAGAACAAGTAATTAGGCTGTTGACCGCAGCCTGCCATGCTTGTTCTGGATTCAAAGAGGGCAGTGGCTTAGCTGCATTGTCAGGATACTATTTTGGTGGATTTATGAGCACATTTGAATTCTTTACTGCAAACTTCAGCATAAATCAAGTTTATTTCGGATCCTCGATCTTAAGATCATATTTTGTGTGCTATCTTTCGATCGATTTCGGAGTTTCGTCTACCAAATTCTGCCTTTCCATTTTACGTCACTCTAACTTCAATTTTCCAACATGCCAAAGAAATCACCTCGTGGTTCCTGTTCAAATTTGTTGGAAACACGGAAAGTGCCCTTACTTGGTTTGATTGTTGCTTTGGATTTCGTAGTTCGTGTGTTGGATTGCCTTCGATTATTGTTATCTCTTGCGTTCTATTCAACATGATTTCATCCAAATTTCGCGCACAGTTGTTGCAGTCGAAGGCGGCCAGAGAAACTTATAACAGCGGATGCAGCTCGCGGTCAGAAATATATAACTGTGAACAACAGTTCTAGAGATATTGTCATGCAAACTAGCCTAGATTCCATCTGAGGTTCAACGCAGTCTTCTTTCCCTTCTCCTTCTTCTAACAATTCATTTCCTTTCTATCCAAATTTTTTCGAAATCACAACTCCAATTGAGGCTAATTATCCACTGGCTTTGCATTCTGCAAACCCAAAAGACCCAAATGATTGTCCAATGGTTGAGGAGGTATGGAAAACAACGACGGAAGAAGCCGTGAAACGAAGAGAAGTTTCCTGGTACTGACCAACAACAGGCCAGGTCAAGCAAGGCTCACTCCCAATCTCCTACCGCAGTAACTGATTCGAATGATAAGAGATGGTCAAATCGGATGCTTTTTCACACTCCTGAATCCACCGATCCAAATCTGCAAGCACATTATGATTACCGCATTGAGTGTCTACAGTCTGGTTGATGGGCTCTGCGGTGTGGGTGAGGACGGAGTGAAAGAGATGCACGACATCCGCATCGGCAAAAGCGCTGCTGAGAAGGAGCGACCTATGCGGGTCGCTTCTGCTGACACTGCCAGTTCTAAGTTACTACTGTCTCGGCTGGGTAGCCAAGTGGCAAGAGAATGAATGCTCGTCCGTATATTGATCCAGCAGATCGAGCGAACCCCATATGTGCTATCGTCGAGCTAAAGCGGTGAACTGGTGAAGGAGAAACAAATTTACGTATTGTAACTTTTCGAGTAATTACACGATCGAGAATTCGGATAAATCGGTCACTCACACTTCAGGGTCGCCCGGTAGTTCTTACCAAAGCCTGCGTGTAGCCTTTGCCAACGTCTGCAGTCTTAGGAACAAGCAGGATGAGCTGTGCCGTTACGTTGCTTTCGAGCGACCAGATGTAATGGGACTCGCTGTGCCGTGGTTGAACGATGAGGTATTCACCCAGGAAGTTGAGCTTGGTAGCTACTCGTGATTCCTCTGTGATAGGCTATCGAATGCTCACGGTGGTGTCTTGCTCCACATACGGTCTTCTCTGTGTGGGAGACTCGTGAGCGTCCACCGAAGCGAAGATGGTCCGTGTGAGCAGTTGCGTTGCTCGATCGACCTCAGGTGCGGAGAACCGTTCGTGGGTGCGTTTTTTCCCAGTCCGCTGAGCCGTTGTTTGGATAGGCTACCGCATATCCAGGATTGCATAACTCACCCCCATTTTCTGCTCATAGGCGATTCCAATTGTCCTCGAATACGCAGGCCTGTGTTCAAGTTATCACTGGATAGTACGAGGCCGAAACAAAGTTTGCTGAAATGGTAGCTGAAACTGGAGCATCACAACACATCTGCTAATCAACACGTATAATCCTGCGCTCAACTCCATCGTGCATAGACTTGATGTTAACAACTGTGTATTATATCTGGGTCTTAGAGCCTCTGGAAGCAAGCAGCCTCCCATGGAGCGGTCGCTGCAGTAATGCCAGACACTGCAGCCAGCTTACAACTACTGGAAGACGGATTTCGACTGTATGACTCGAACAACAAACGAAGTGGGTTGGTCTCTGTTACAATCTGCATCTATTTAAGCTTGATGATTCATTCTAAAGGATGAAGTAACTTTATTGTAGCTGGT